GTTTTCAGTTAAATCTACTGTTAAGCCCGCATGGGCCGAAAGCGCTTTGAATTAAAGTTTGAGTTTTTCATTTAAATTTCGATTTTATTTTACCCCTATACCAAGGAAAAAGATTTCACTGAATATAAATATAAATCAAAGCAAAATGTACGAGAATTATCACGAATTATTCTATTTTAATTAACCATGACAGTACCTTTTAGTGAAATTTAACGTGGATTCATAGAATTATACATTGTGATGTGCCCTATTTGCACAACAAGTTTTATAGAATGGAATAAACTTGTGGGAGGAAATATATTGTGAAACATTTATTAAAAAAGGATTGAGAGACGTATACCTAGACAGGCGGACGGACACTTAACCATCACACAAGCTCCCCTGATCCCTGACCAGAAGTGCTAAGACAAAAAGGAATATATCATGACATACCTTAATGAAGTATTATACATGTACCTGAGTAAAATCCTAAATAAACAGCTGTGTAGAAATTAACAAGGTACGAAAAATCTTTTGTGAATTGCAGGTTTAAGAAAAATCTCTTCTGTATGATATGGAGTATTTCAAGGTAGAGGAAAAGAACACATGTCCGTAAACGATATATGCAAATACTCATTCTGCAAGTGAAATATTACGTAATACACAACTATCCCTTTGTATATACCTTTTTATGACAAAATCTAAAAATCTTAATCATAAAGACAGTTTGTTTTGTATCTCGATTACATTTTGGCATAGAATATTCTTTATCTTTTAAGATATTTTGCATGTTTGAATTCATAACATGACTTGTATTGTGTTATTTGCTGACAATACCAATTGTTCTGAGAACAATATACATGTAAAGAATCAGAAATAGCGTACTTTGAATGAAGGCTCCTTATTAGCGGATAAGGAACCCGGAACTTAAAATCAAAGAAGTGGGATATTCATGTATTTTTACTTACTTGTATTTTCTTATTTTACTACGGTGGAAGTGGGTCATATGTTATTAAAAACTATTAAAATATTTCTTCCCAAACTTATTTTTATTATATGACACCATAAGAATATAAATAAAGAAAATACATGCCAATATTTCATTCAATGGTAAGTTATTTACGGCAAATAAAGTGCTAGCTAATTCAGTTCATTATCATGCATGTCCTTACATTTACGAGTATTTTATATAAACCAAAAGTAGGAACACATTATACTTCTCTATATTTCAAATTTCGTCCTGTTTTGCCGAAAAATATGGTAGTTATTGTCATTTACAGTTTCAGCGAATCACATTTAAGCAGATGTGCATGTTTTCTTCATTAAAAAACACACAATACAAGTCGTTACCGACGCAAAGGGAGCTACGCCATTGCATGTGTTTACAATGCTATCGAATATGCTAACATGATGTAAACTGATAAAAAAAAAAACTACACGAATCTACTCCTGATCATTCGGCTTCTGGTAGAATGGTTAAAGTGTATCTAGTGCGTTAGAAAATCATAACAAAACACCTCTTTATTAAAAACTAGTAGAATTACGGGTAATCATTCTCTTTATCATGACTAATTTGACTTTAATAACATCTTTCATAGTGTTCAATCAAGAACTTTGCACAATAATCGTGTGTTATTTGACTCATCAAAAGGGTTATAGGGAGACATTAATATAAACAGAGATGCTACATTAAGAAAATACCATCAGATATAGAAAAGTATCATGATAATGTGAAAACTTGCCTACAAAATCAAAATTGTTTTCTAAGTCTCATTATGAATGGTCAGAAAACCAAACCGGTTTGTGTTTAAAACAATTTTGAGACTCAATAAACAACGAAATCAAGTCTTTATCAACACTAACTGATAGTACATGTAAATTTGTGTCTGCTGTTGAATGTACGGAGGTACGGAATTGATAATAAGCAAGAAAAAACCCTAATAGTAGTAATAGGTATGGTATAGTGTTATGAGCACTAACATGATTTCAGGTATGCAATCAACGCAAGAGATGGCGGGAGGCAGAATTTCACAAATAAGAGAAGGTTATTCGTGAGGGATAGTATTTCCTTTCAATATCATTTCTGAAGGAATCAAATAAGGAAGAAAACACATTTCCGGAAGGAAAACTAACCATGAGTAGGTCAATGTGAGAAGGGAAGGGGTTTAGGCTAGGGTTGTTGCCGTTCCCTTACTAGACAACGTAATATAGGCTTTGAAATGGCCCATTACTATTGTTTAATAAACTGTTAAGCTTAATATTTATATCGCAAAAGAGATTCCGTATATTGTACAAGTGTAAAAAAAAAAAGTCGTTGATTGTAAAAGTCAGCGCTTCTCGCAAAAGTCCTATAACGGGGCGCAAATTATAAATAAATACTTTGTAAAGTTCAGGTGTACATTAAGCGTAGTAAAACTGTGTATCTAGCTATAGGTTGTCACCAATGCAAATTGATCTAATTTATTTAAACATTGTTACTTTTTGTTGATTTTATTTTTAGCTTGTGTTTGTATATCTTTAATTTTTATTGTAGCTTTTAACCAAATCACCAAACCAGCACGCAAAACTTTATATCGTCACCACTTTTGTAAACAGGGACACATTTTCGCTAATTAAGGTCTGGGCCCTTATTTGTACTGTTTGTGGTCATCAATAAAGTGAACTGGTTAACTGGCTGCAATCAGTGTTCTTACAGTATGTTTTATTAAAATTGAAATGGAAGGCAGTACACTTATGAATTGTTTTTGATAATCATCAAACCCTACATATGGGATTCTAGAACAATTTTCACATCAAACATTTCCCGTAATCCTTCTATTTGGATTTTAAATTCTTGACTTCAGCTGTTTATATGTAAATCTGCACAACATAGGGATGCTTTTATATTAATTTTATTACTTATAGCTGGTTTTGCTCTTTTTTTGAAGAACATACATTTAATATTATTTTTTATATGAAATCTCTTTTAAGTGTGCTCTTTTATTGTTGATTCATCATTCTGGGAGGGTCTAGTTGAACCAACTTCAACTTACACTACATAATTATTATGCTTACATATATTAATTTAAAGCAATATATGTTAAACCTTTATGATCAATTAGACGAAAATAAATTAAAATATTAATTTTTTATCAGAAGAAAGATTTCTGTACAATGGAATGTATAGTATTGTATAAGAAATCAATATAGTACCGGACAACAATTATGTAACTTTGCTTCAATCAAAGATTATAAATAGTTCTTCCATCGCAAATATGAACTACAGAAGTTTATAAACGTTCTTTTTTTCCTGTCATTGAAATAGTTAATTATAATATAACAACAAATATTACCGAGATCAGAGTTGCAGCTCATGTTGCTTTAACTGTAGAATTTTGCTATATACATGTCTTTTAACGCACAACTGTTATCTTTTTGGACCCAATTCGAGATACAGTAAACATTATGAGGATGTATTCCTTTTAATTTGACTAACCCCTAGCTCAGGAGATGAAGATTTGTAAAAACTTTTCTACATGTTTACATGTATAATGTCATTCTAGAGTGACTGCACACAAGCCTCTGGTCATGAATGGGAAAAATACATGAGTATGCTTCTGTGTTAATCTGAAGCAGAGATAACGAGGTTGTAGCTCCACAGTTTTGAATCCATAGTGTGTAGTCTAAAAGCTGCTCAAATCTTTTGTAAAGATTCAACATAATATTCTAGTATTAGTTATTCTAAACCGAAGGTTCGAAGAATTAAAGCTATAGCTATCTGTGAGCATCAACTTTTTGGAATGTGGGCCGTATCTCAAGAATCGCTTGGCCAAATTTTGTCAAATTTGTCACAGAGTATCCTTGGCTAAGGGCTTTTATATCTGCTTAAATTAGGGATGTGACCCTTAAACAAGGAGTAATAATAATGGAAATAAGACAAAAGGAGAGGTAAGATTTTACCTAAAGTAATGTCACTATATTCAATTTCCATTTAAATTTGTTATACGAGTGCTAGTAAAAATTGCACAGGGAAGTCTTTGCAATTTATGAAAAAAACAATTACAAAAATCTACAGAACTGTTTTAAGTTTGCATAAAACAAAAAAAATATATTATCACAGTTGCAAGAAAATAGATTTCAATTTTGAGATTTGGGGAAAATTGTTAACGTTCTTAACATGCCATATACGATGAACGTTTAATTACGTTTCATGTTGACGTTCTCCTCTCCTCTTTTCTTACTTATATTGATTTAATTCTATAAGCTATAATACAGGGCAAAATTCTTAAAAGACAAACCATTATAAATGCCAAACTTTCTGAATTAATAAACAAATTTAAAAACTTATACATGTACGATTTAAATTAGACATAACTATTGCAAGAAAAAGTGATCGACAATCGTTATCTGAAATCCATATAAAACAAGATATATAATTACGAGAAAAAAGCTGAACTGGATACAGGATTTCTATACGAGGAAAGTACATTTATATGTCGATTAACAAAGATTCATTTTTTACCTATATATCGTTTTAAGAAAATGAGGTTTGGCTTTAATTTATGGCATTCAATTCTTTTGTTTGTAGCATGTCCTTTATCATTAATTGGGTGAAAATTATGCTGAATTCATCTTCCTACGGATGGCCAAGAAGATAATACGAAGAGGATAATGCGATTGTCCACAGGATAGGCCAAGAGTATAATGCGATTATATTGTCCACAGGATAGACGAAGAGGATAATGCGATTGTCCACAGGATTTTATACACAATAGGAAGCATTTAAGTGTAGAGTGGTGAATAGAATAGACAATATGCTTAGGTGTCAAGACTACGAACCCTCTTTGAGGGTTTACGAATGACGACGGACGGGCACATAAAGCAATAGATCACTTGCGTGGTTTTGTTGACAGTAAAAAAAATTCTCAAAGGTTTAGTTATTTCGCTAAATTAACGATACATAAAATCACAATCAGTAAAGTTTATTATTTCATTAATAATAAAATAATTTATAACATCCACATACATATGGGGTTTTTTTTTTACATATAGGAACCGGATTTCATTTTTAAAAAAAATACATTAAATTCAAGCCACTGTACTGTGTAGACAAAAGGGAATTCGGTGAAATGCCAAATGTACATTTTTACTAACGAGATAATGCCCGAGGAATAATCCTTCGTTCATTGTATAACAATTAATACTGCGCGTTTTGATTATCTTTAGTTTATGAGAAAGAGAAAATGGTGTCTTGGTTCTTGTCAAACTTCTTGTTTACATATTTCTGAAATTCGCGCCAACATGTTTGTTTATGCCTTTTTTTATTACAAGGCTAAAATTGTGTGTATATATCAGCTTAATAAATGATTTTCAAGACTTACCCGTATTTTCATCTTGCAATAAATATATGTCTACATTTAAATACAAAAATGTATGTGTATTACTCAAAAAATAATGTCCCATGATTATTTCCTCGTCTTTCGCTGTCTCTAGGTAATATTCATAAGTTTCAGGTTCAAATTGATGATTACAATTCGAAAAATTGCTCCCAGTGAAAGCCAGATATGATCTATTCTGAAATTTCCTTTAACCAGAAAAGATACAATAATTTTTACATCATACAAATCTAGGCATAGCTAGAGAAAAGTGACATTTTTTTTAAATGTGAAAGTATTTCTGTATCATTGTCTCCTAGCTACATCTTATGGTGTTAACTAACATTAATAAACAATGCACATCTAAATGGAACAAACTTGTAATGATATAATCGCAATTACTTGAACTAAGTGAAAACTTTCTACACTGATTTATGATAGAAATTGTATTGTGTTTTGTAGCATATAAGTACCTAAAGATTTTTAAGTTTATTCATTATTCTTGTCAGCCACTGCTCGAATCCTCACACAACACTTTCTTATCCCCTAACTGTTTGACTCGATTCCCATCTACGTTACAGTCTGTGACGTCACTAATATGGCTGCAAACGCATGTTTCACTTGAGAAATACGTCCCCTTTCCACAGGGGGCGGTGTAAAGACGCTCGCCGACACATCTGTGAAATATGTTGCAGTACTTTGGATCTGTATAATATCTGTCTTCATTTTTCTGGGGACATTTGAAGGTACAATCTGTAAATAGATATAATATACTTTTTAGGCTTTTGGGGAACTAATAAACTTAATCATACACAAGGGCAAAAATTTGGATGATGAATTTGGAGTGGTAAAATTTTCCTTGATGAGAAGAAAAACTAATAATATTGTATACAAAATTGTATACGAAATTCGATTAGATACTGATAAAAGTTTGGTAAATTTTAATTTGAACAAACCTTCATCGTTTTGGCAGAGAAGTACATCTTTAGGAACTTTGGCTTCCGTAGTGTTAGCCTCGGCTTCGTTTAGTAGAACAGGACGACATGTGACCTCGTTGATACTACTTACAACATCTTTGGGAATACTTCCGGTACAGCTAACAGACCATCCATCGTACTCGTTATATTTGACAATGCACGTGAAATTTACACCATAAAGTGGACCAACTTTATTTCCCATAGTTCCTAGTAAAGTAATTGGCATAGGTGTACAATCGCTAGTGGAAGAACACGTAATCTTGTAATTCCCATCATCCTCTGTTTGTCCAACCTTCAATTGAACGGCTGATGTTTTACCTTTAGAAACAAATGAATAAAAGGTTAAATTGGCGTCAATATTAATATACATATACAGGCATTGGACATTTTTTCAACTTCATTTCGCTAAATAATCAAGTAGTTAATTTTATCTATGTCATAGTTATAAACAATAAGTGCTCAGTAGTTCTGTACCATAAGCATGTCATGCCAACTCGAATTTTTTTTAAAAAAAATTAGAATTGATTACTTTTCCTTGCCTTTTTTCTTTTCTCTCTCTCTCTCTCTCTCTCTCTCTCTCTCTCTCTTAAATGGAGATCCTTCACGATCCTTCATGCTTCTTAATAACTTACTAGGACATACTACTTATAAAATTTTGGGTTTTTTTCAAATTTAGCGGATTGTTTAATCGATTGAAATATAGACAAAAAACTTTCTTTATTTTAACTTTAAGGTGTAGAATGTTTTGCCATTAATAAATTAAAAGAATGACTGAAGAATAAGAAACTTACTGGCTTTGTGATCGCAAGAACTGGAAATCAAATAGAAAACGCTAAGTGCTTGGACGCAAAAATAAGAGTAGAGTGACTTTGGAAGTAATGAGAAATGAGATGTGAATAACCCTATAGAGAGAGGGGGGGGGATAATTCAAGTTCTGATTTTCTCATTTCGTACTCTATTTCTTTTTATTGTCTTATTATTTGCATGTATTGTCAAAATACGCTTTAGGTAAGTTCTTGACCATATGGTTATTTATTACTCGCTGTTGCCAATGAAACTGTCTGACTAGTGTTGTTTTTTGGTCTTGAAATGACAGAGATTTTAATAGAAAATCATTACATGCTATATATTTTGAAATTAACCATGTTTGAGAAAAATCTTTGAAATGCTTAAAAGATATGCCCATTGTCAGGAATAAATCAAACCATTAAACATTTCTTATAACTTACTGTCAATTTCGATATCCACATGGCTGGGGAAGCTATCTTCTGATGTAATTAAAGTCAATTCATATTTTCCGTCTCCACCACATTTCACAGGATCTCTTCGAAATTCAATAGAATTACTTTTCTTGGTGGAAAATTGAATTTCCCATCTTCCATCCCGAAACGGGATAGATTGAAGTGTGCTGTTAATTTCAATTTTATCCTGTGACGGAACAAAATAATATTTCGGTGTAAATTCCATGATTATAGAAGAGTTAACAATATTCATATTCTCTTCATAGTCACAAGTAATCACGATGCTTGAGTTAAATTTCAGTCTACCGGTCTTCGCCATTCCACTAGAATTTAATACACAATCTACAATATTAAAAAAGGGGAAACCTGTAGTTAGATCTATGAAAAGCAATTTTTGATGATTTTAAGTTTCTTAAAAGCGAACATTTTTATAACTTTAAAGAAATTGTCGACTGTAAAACCACCTAGAAGAATGAAAAAAGTAATACAGGACCTTAAGTATTAGTAATCTTGACCAATTGACCTTGATCAAAGCAATTAGAACCTTTATGGACCTTTTTTATATTCGTGTAGCGAAAAAGACGTATGCATGCTAAAAATAATTTTGGGACCTCATAAAAGACATTTGGAAACAAAACCATTTTGATCTTAAAATCTTGAATGAAATCTATATATAGGTGTCATCCTCTAACCATTCCTCAGGTATAAGGTAAAAATGTTCTTTTTAGTTAAATCCAAAGTTAACATGCTGCATAAATTTAAGAAATAAACTTATCAGAAGTATTGACCCTGATATTCAAGAGATCTCTTCTCTAACCAACCTTTTCTGTGTTGTAAAAGAAAATAATTTTGCGTTCAAAAAGACATTCAAATTATTTAATCACAATAGTCATTTAAAGAAACATAGCCTCCAAGAGACTTGTAAGGAGTGTTTCCAAACCCCTAAGGAGTCTCCATTTATATATAAAATATGAAGTCTATTGGTTACTAAGTGCATTACAATTGTCATATCAGTATAATCTCAATGTTTTACCTTAAAATGACCGGACTTTTGACAGAATTGTATTTTGACATAGAGGCCCTAAACTTATAAATCCTTAACTCGGATCATTCGTTTCCTGTAACCTAAAAACTGTTCAAATCATTACGTCTATATAATCAGATTAATTTTCCCTAAGTTTCACCTGGTCTTTGACGAAGGGGCCATAAAACTTAGGCGAGCTCATTTTTTTTTTATTTCAGTTTCACTTTATAATGGAAAAGCGAGACTGAGATCAAAAGTATGCTCGCCTAAGTTTTATGGTCTCCAGGCCAGGTGTCTTCTATCTACCATTTTTCACCCATCTAATAAATATTAACTCTTGAAGATCAAAAATATACAAGGTATATTCCATCTATGGAAAGCCGTAGGGTACCCCCACATTATTATTATTTTTTCCTATATAATTATACCAAAAATAATTATCTCATCCCAAAATAAAAATCTTGTTTGTTTGTTGGTTTTTTTTTTTTTTTTTTTTTTTTTTTTTTTTTTTTTACATTATTATTTTCCTACAACAATTATAATCTTGTCCGTCCATGTGTACTCATTATTTTTATTTTGCCCCTACATTATAATAATTATTCTCACTTTACAATTATAATCTTTTCAGTTAGTACGGAGACATTATTTTTATACACCTCCAAATTATAATCTTGTCAGTCGATTCGTACACATAATTTTTATTTTGCACCAAGATTATAATTATTCTTGCTTCAACAATTTATAAGACTTCACCTCCTGTAACAATAATGTACTGACTGAAAATAAATAAAAATGTACACGCTTAAATTACCAAGTCGACGTTATAATCTTTGCAACAATAATAATGATGTGCGCCCTTGTTCGCAATTATTTTTATTTTTCAACAGGAAAGATAACTTCTTTTCTAGTGACAGGAACGAAAACTCTGTCCTCCTGTTGAAACAATAATTATGTTGAGACGCGATTATAATTGTGACTGCACACATTATTTGAAGCGTGAAGGAAATATTATCTTGAGCGTGGAGAAATATTATTTGAAGCGTGGAGAAATATTATTTGAAGCGTGGAGAAATATTATTTGAAGCGTGACGGAAAACAAGCGTCGATGCGAGGGAGATCGTCACGTGAAAAGGCCATGTGCGCTGTTCGATCATGTAAACAAAGTGGAAGACAGAAAGTCCAACGTTAGCTAGGCTATAAGAGGTAAGTAAAGACTAATCATTAATGTACATGTAAATGACTGGCATCATTCAGATAATGTCTCTTGAATCAGCTGTCAGTTTATTGTAATTAAGCTAGAGCTACCGAACAAACAGGTAGTTCGAATTGCCTCAGACAGCTGTCAGAAATAGATCATGTGCATAAATGTGAGATTAAGCACATACTAGTACTTTATTAAAACCACCTGCCTGATTAAGCGCATATAGGGACGATCATTTGATTGGGGGGGGGGGGGGGGACTGATAGATTAAGAAAATAAATATTTTAACCTCTACCCCCACCCCTTTATGAAAAGGTGGTGACCTTAACATGGTGAAAAATGTTTTTCCTAACCAAAATTATTTCTCATCTACCATGTCTACTACTTTGTACATGCCATAATCATACTCGTACATGTACCTGTTGATATCTTTTAGATTTTGCATACAGTTTGTCTTTCTGCCACAGATTCAAAGAGAATTCAGATAGAAAATGGAACTATTGAACAATAAATTCTGCCTGGAAGCAAGAACTGGGGATTACAGTGCAAGGGATACCCGCTGCTCTATTTCAAAAGTTATTGGTAAGGTGATTAAGTCCTTGATAAATATCATTAAAAAATATAGCCTTTGTTAACAATAGACAACTTAAACATTTTCCAAAAAGTATTTCTCTTTGTGGGGAGAATCTGGGTTCAGCTGGAATGAGGGACTGTTCTCCCTTTAAGCCAATAAAAAAATTATAATGTGTTTGTTTCTGGTAACATGCCAAAAATATTAGGGAAGGTAGGTAGGCGATAACTTTTTTTTTTTTACTTTGCTTTTTATTAGCTCACCTGAGCCAAAGGCTGAAGTGAGCTTTTCTAATCACATTTTGTCTAGTGTCCATCTGTCTGTAAACTTTTCACATTTTTTACTTCTTCTCAAGAACCACTTGACCTACATGTATTTCAACCAAACTTAACAACAAAGTAGCCATGGGTAAAGGGGGTTCAAGTTTGTTCAAATAAAAGCCACACTTCCTTCCAACTGGAGATAATTACAAATTAATTTAGTGAAAAATTAATATCATCTTTTAAAAATCTTCTTCTCAAAAATCTGTGGTCCAGGAAAGATGAAACTTTTGTGGAAAAATCCTCAGGTAGTGTAGATTCAAGTTTATTTAAATCAGGGGTAGGGTGGGGCTATAATGGATTATCAAAGTTTTACATAGGAATATATAGGGAAAATTTAAAAAAATCTTCTCAAGAACAGCAAAGCCATGATTAGTCATATTTATATGGAAGTTTCTTCAGATAGTGTAGATTCAAGTTTGTTTAAATCAAGATCCCTCGGGGAAGGTTGGGGTCACAATGAAAGTTAAAACTTATAGGAAAATAATCTTTAAAAAATCTTTGAAAGCCACAATTAGTCAAATAAATATGGAAGTTTCCTCAGTAAGTGTAAATTCCAGTTTCTTCAAATCATGCCCCACCACTTTAGGGGTAGGTTGGGACCACCAATATGTATTTAAACTTTTCAATACTGAACTGAGTGCTCGGGTGAGATATATGGCCCTTAGGGCTCTTATTTTGTAAGCATCAGTCAAATATTCAGTATGCCGCTGTTGTTTTTTTTTTTTTTTTTTTTTTTTTTTTTTTTTTTTTTTGGGTCATAGTCATATATAAATAGTTAAATACACATATGAATAAAATGTACACAACAAAACAATTGTACTCATTAAAACACTTGGATAGACATGTTTTAAAAGTATCATGGGGGACATCCTTGCAATGCCATGGGTCCTGGGTCCTGGCTAATTTCATGTGATATTTTAAGTCTTGCTTCTCTCATTGAGAAGCACCAATCAAATTGAAGCTTTCAGAAATATTTAGATATGATAATGTAAACAGGAAGAATCACCTGTTACAAGTTGTTTATCATAGAATATGGCTTAATGTGATTGGTTGAGAGATGAGAAAAACAATGGATTTGAAAATTCCCCTAAAGATAATGCTACAGTCAGCCCATGATATTAATGAATGAAATTGACCAGGGGTCCCATGCAATGTATTGAATCAGGGCCCCTTGGCATTGCAAGGGGGGGGGGGGGTGTAGCCAGGACAAGTCACTTCAGATGCATGACACTCCTAACCATTTTACAAGGGTCTGTTTTTCCTAGGGGGTCAAAGACCTTTTTATTTTTGCTTATTTTCTTAAGCATTTAATATTTTTGTAAATTCCTTGTGGGTCTCCTGTAGATTTATGCTTACTGTATGCATAGCATAGGATTAATATAATTATGTACTATTTAATGTAAAATGTTCAGGGCATAATTATTAATAGTGTTATTGGTTTTGTATTCATCACTCATATAACAGAATGTCTTTTGGCAGTTTACCTTATATTATTCATCATATTGTGTACATGAATAAAAGATAGAACAAAAAATTTAAAGCCAAACTCCGTTGACCACAAAAAAAAGGACTTGTGACAAATGAAATAAAATGTAGATCATAGATGCATTATTTCTCAAATCCATCAGCCTGGCTTGATTTTCTTGAACTTGGGTCTCTTTTTCTATTTTGACCTGGAAGTTCATCTGATCCAATGGTTCAAGAGAGCTTTTCTGATCCCTTAAGGACATACGCAACATAGTTTGAACTTTATTGTCGTTTTCCTTGGAGTTGTAGAGTTCCAATACTTAAAGGAACTGTGTGCTACATTTTAATGTCTATATATTCTGTTGTACACTTCTTCTTAAACAAGTATGTTTAGTGATTTTCGTATATTTTTCTTTGAATATTATACAAGAATTTTGCCTCAATTGGTGTCTTTTCAAAACCCCTGGTATTATTAAATAAAAATACTCCACCAAAGGAATTGTCAAATAAATTGCACCTTGAATTTTACAATGAAGTCTATGGGGAGTGCAGGTTTTATTAAGATATTGTAAGAAGTAATTTGAATTTCATGTAGAGCTCTTGGTGAAAATATGCATAAACTCTCTCTTTATTAAAATATGAAATAAAGTGAATCATTTGCCACAGATATTTTGATAAAATTAAATTTTTGGGTTTTTCATCAAGGGCAGATAACTCTTCAAAAAATGTTAAAGTGCAAAATGACCAGCTTCTTTCATGTTATCAGTCATGTGAATTTGGTTCATTTCCCTTTCATCATTATCTAGCAATACATTTTTAACTAGTTTAAAATGATTCCAAACAGTTCAAAATCCATTCAGTATACACTGAATACCTTAATACATGTATCAGACTTTCTCAACAGAACTACTGGACCAGTTTTAACTAAACCTGGCACAAATGAAGGAGAAATTTATTTTCAATGAGGAGAAAACTAAAAAGTAATAAAATTTAAGTAAACAATAAATCAATTCATTTTGGCATGAAGACCATTGGTTTCACTAATAGGATGCTTCCTTTTCATACTAGTTATCATGAAAAAAATTGGCAGGAAAAAAATTCTCCATCTCAGGTTTCCCTTGATTATGCATGGTAATTATAAAAACTCTAACTGTGTTTCAAACTTTTTATTTCAGGGAATTTGTGATAGAAGATTGTGCAGATCTGGACAAAAATTCAATGTGAATAACTTTGAAGAAAGAAGTCTTGGCAAATTTCAGAGAATTTTTGATGGAAGAATATGTGTTGTTCCTGAACATTTTGCACATGAAATTTGTCCTTTTGACATCATTTGACACTAATTTGAAGTGATGCATTTTTGATAAATTTGTACATGTATATGAAATACTCCATTTAAAGTGTCACATCTGTGTCTCAGGTTACTGCTGATAAAGTGGGATCTGCATGAGTGAACAAACTTGAATTTCTGCATTTATATTGATTGCATTTATGAAATTTGTATTTATATTTACCAAAGTACCAAAGAATGTGTTAAAATTATATGAAAATGGATGATATGTGATGATTTTTTATGGTATTTTCTTGGATCTGAATGTCAAACATATAAAGGAATGCATGTTGGAAAAGCTGGATTGACTTCTTTGAGCTCTGCCATACATGTATGTACATGCGATAATGGCATTTTTATGTATGTATATGGCAGCTTATGGTGAAGGTCGAAGTTTTTCAAATTCATGTCAAACTCCAAGGTCAAGGTCAAGAGATCACAAATGTTATTATCCAAAGACAGGTCTTGTCTCAAGAAATGTGCAAGTAAAATACGAAAGCCCTAGCACTTACCTTTGAAAAGTTATGGTGAAGATTAAAGTTTTTCAAAAGTCGAACAACAAGTTCAAGGTCAAAATTAATGGTGGTCATGGGAAGGTCTTGTCATAAGAAATATGAAGCCCTAGCCCCAACTGTTCAGAAATTATTGCCAAGGTAAAAGTTTGGTAAAATTTTACAAAAATGGGTCAAACTCAAAGGTCAAATATGTTGGTACCCAAAGAAAGGTTTTGTCACAAAGAATACACATGTGAAAAATGAAATGCATAGCTCCAACAAAACAAAAGTTATGGGAAAAGTTAAGTTTTGGGGACATACAAACAGATAGACAGGGCAAAAACTATAAACCCCTGAATCATCTTTGATTAGGGGGGCATAAACAACACTGATGTATTATACAGATTTGTTCGCACTGTACAGGAACCAAATGATGGCTATAATATGGGGTCAAAACTGAAAAAAGGTAAAAATTAGGAAAATTAGGAAAATTATGCATTTATTTTGTATAGTGTATATGTGTCTGATAATCCATAAATACATGCACGCATTTTAATGTAAAAATGACAATTAAGCAGTACCTCATGCTTGACCATGAGAAGAAATTCACACTCAAATTTAGTATTCAAAAAAAAAAAAAAATTACATGTAAATGTAATGTGAAGCAGTCACCCATTCAAGGGTTAAACAGGCTCGACATTGCTTAACTTGTCTAATATAGAGGGAGAATTTACCGCATCACTAGAAAAGCTAGCTCACTAGCGACTCAGTACAAGTTCCCTATATACTGTCTGATACATTGGTACATATTTCCTAAAAATATAAGCACATAACAAAATTAAAGAAAATTGTTTATTATATTGTTTCAGTCTGACATAAACCTTTTTTTTTTCTTAGATCAATTTCAATCCGCACAAGAGAGAAATGAAATATCTCTAAATTTCAGTAACATATCAGTGTCCTGTTTGTGTATGTACATGTGGGATTTCATCTGCTATTGCATCTGTACATATTCTGTATTGGTAATCTTGAAATGCTTAAAGATTGATGTCATGGATTCTCAAATTAGATAAATCATCTAGTCTAAAACTTATAGGCTCAGTGTAAAAGATCTAGTAGTACAGAATTAAGTGATAGCAATAAGTCTGGCAGTCTATAAATCCATCCGAATTTAAATAGATCTGTCTCCTTCTTCAGATCCTTTTCTTTCAAACAAAACATTTTTCAAAATTGGTTATGACGTCATCCATAGACATTTCTGAAATATAACAATACTATTACATCACCTGATTGTTGATCAATGAAAAGGACACATAACAAGAGGCCCATGGGCCATAATGCTCACCTTAGACACCTGATAATGCTCACCTTAGTCACCTTCCTCCTGGCTGAAGAATTTAAAAAAAAAAGTCCTTTATTCCAATGAAAAATTACCTAATATTGTGGCCTCACCTTAGCCTAAAGGTTTGTAATTAAAAATTTATTTGAACCCCATAACATGTTCTTGTGTCCTTCCATCACACTTTGAACTTTTATATGCTGATACATATTGATGAGAGCTACTCAACATTTTTTTACCTTGACCTTTCCTTTGAACCTGACCTTACTTTTCTTAAATTAGAGTGTTAAGCTCAGTTTCAAGAGCTATTTAAGATATTTTTATCAAATCTTATATGCTGATACATATTGATGGGACCCATTCAACTTCATCAACATATTTTTGACTTGACCTTTCCCCTGACCTTGACCTCATTTTTCTTAGATTAGTAAGTAGCTCTATTCAAGAGATTTGGATCAATCTTCATATGCTTATACATATTGATAAGAGCTATTCAGTTGCATAAATTTTGTTGATCTTGACTTCTCTCAATTTCTCTCAATTTTGTGTTAATTGCTAAGCTCAATTTTAAAGAAAAAATTGTGATTTTTTATTCAAACTTCATATGCTGATACATTTTGAAGAGTGTTATTGAACTGCAACATAAAATTTTGACCAGGACTTTTCCTTGGACCTTGATATCACTTTTTTCTTAAATAACTATATGCATGTAACACAGTTTCAACAAAACAATTCCATATGCTTTTATGTAAGCTTATGCACTGATGCAAAATTTGTTAAGAATTTATCAACTTTGTTCAACCTTTTTACCTGGACCTTTCCAATGACCTTTTTTTTTTTCAAGATATTATCATCAAACTTCATACACAAATGCAAAAATGCAAATTTTCATGATGCATGATAAGCCCTAGTAGGGGTATTCATGTCCTATGGTCAAATTTCTAGTTTGTAGTATATTCCCATGCAAATTTTTAATCCCATACTGTGGCTCCATCCTCTCAAAGGGCAATCTCCTATGCAGAGTTGTCATTCGTTCCTCTCTCAGACACCTCTGCAATGGGCTCGCATCAAGATTTTGACATTATAATGTAAAAAACATAACATTCCCAGAATTATTTTAAATTAAATTAATAGTTCTAGATCTACTTGGAAAGTAGCTACCTTTAGGAACAAAATTAGTGCAGGCATTTAATTAAAATGAATTTAAACAAACACACTATTTTTCATGTTTATCACTGTGATATATGCGAGCAGATGACAGAGGTGAATGTATGAGCCGATGGTAGAGTGCTCAAAGGGGTCCTATTTGACTGAAAATGAAACTACGCTATGCCAGGAAGTTTTCACATAAGTTTTAATTTTTCTGCCTAGTGGTTCTTAAGAAGATTTTCAAATGACACCGTCAAACGTTAATTTTCTCTTTATGACCTCCCCTTGGCTCTTCATTTGAAAAAAATTAAATCCTTTCCACCAAATATTGTCTAGTGACAAATTTGGTTGAATTCTGGAAAAAAAAGTTGAAAATGTGAAAAGTTTACAGATGACTCAACATTTATGAATGATAGACAGATGCCAGACACTCTTTAATCAGAAATGTTCACTTTAACTTTGGGCTCAGTGAGCTTAAATGTACGGTATTTAATAATAATTATAAAGTAGATGTCTGTTTTCAATATATTAAGAATGTAAATATAAATATAGCACCTACTATATTATCCACATCCTAAAATTTATATATTTTGCAGCATGTTTTTTTTAAAATTGTACTGCAGAATATATCAATTCTAGGATGTACATAATTTTCAAAAATTCTGATTAATGTAAAAATGTGCAATTACTCTTTAGATTTTCTTAATGCCCCCCCCCCCCTTTCCTGGCTAAATCTGCCACTGTGATAAATAAATCAATTTCTAATTCTTTTGAACACTGAATGTCCTTTTTACCTCTGTGCCATCCATAATTCTTTGAATGTAAAATCCTTTTCTTTCTTTACAACACTGTTTTCTTTTTTTTTTAAACCTGTATACTTCTATAAATCAAGATTCTTTGTATAGCTCCTAAAATAAAATGTGCAAATTATTCTTTAAACAAGAGGCCCATGGCCCACATCGCTCACCCGAGCACTTTGGCTAGGAAAAATTGGAAATCAGTTCAGTATTGAAAAGTTTTAAATATATGAGTGGTCACAACCTATGGGGGGCATGATTTGAACATACTTGAATCTACACTAAATGAGTATGCTTCCATATTTATTTGACTCATCATGGCTTAAGAAGATTTTTAAAGATTATTTTGTCATAAGTTTTATCATCTATTGGGCCCCTCCCTACCCCCATGAGTCCTGATTTAAACAAACTTGAATCTATACTTTAAGAGAATGCTTCCATATAAATATGACTAATCATGGCTTTGCTGTTTTTGAGAAGATTTTTTAAATTTTCTCTATGTATTCCTATGTAAAACTTTGATAATCCATTATAGCCCCACCCTACCCCTGGGGGTCATGATTAAAACAAACTTGAATCTACACTACCTGAGGATTTTTCCACAAAAGTTTCATCTTTCCTGGCCCACAGATTTTTGAGAAGAAGATTTTTAAAAGATGATATTAATTTTTCACTAAATTAATTTGTAATTATCTCCAGTTGGAAGGAAGTGTGGCTTTTATTTGAACAAACTTTAACCCCCTTTACCTCAGGATTGTTGTTAAGTTTGTCGAAAAAGGTCAAGCAGTTCTTGAGAAGAAGTCAAAAATGTGAAAAGTTTAAAGAGATATGGACACCAGACAAAATGTGATCAGAAGAACTCACTTCAGCCTTAAGGCTCAGGTGAGATAATAAAAAGTAAAGTAATAAAAAAAAGTTATCGCCTACCTACCTTCCCTAACATTTTTGGCATGTTACCAGAAACAAACACATTATAATTTTTTTATTGGCTTAAAGGGAGAACAGTCCCTCATGCCAGCTGATCCCAGATTGACCCCACAAAGAGAAATACTATTTTGAAATATGCTAAAGTTGTCTATTGTTAACAAAGGCTATACATGTATTTTTTAATGATATTTATCAAGGACTTACATATGTGTAGTCACCTTACCAATAACTTTTGAAATAGAGTATCGGGGATCCCTTGCACTGTATTCCGCAATTCCTGCTTCCAGGCAGAATTTATTGTTCAATAGTTCCATTTCCTATCTGAATTCTCTTTGAATCTGTGGCAGAAAAACAAACTGTATGCAAAATCTAAAAAATATCAATGGGTACATGTACGAGTATGATTATGGCATGTACAAAGGAGTAGACATGGTAGATGAGAAATAATTTTGGTTAGGAAAAACATTTTTCACCATGTTAAGGTCACTACCTTTTTATAAAGGGGTGGGGGTAGAGGTGGCAAATTTTGTCAAGTCAGATTATTTATTTATTTTTAGCATTCACAGGACAGAATATTTATTTCCAGTTGATCTAAAAATGATTATTTACTTTCTTTTCTTGTCCAAAATCAGAAAACCACTTAACCACATGCAAGAAGGGTGTGTGTGTGTGGGGGGGGGGGATATCACAGTGACAGTCATGGTCTGACAGGGTCATTGTTTTCCTTTATTTCTAGCAATGCCAGTGGATGAAGTTAATTTACTTAAAAATCAAGGTTAAAATATTTATTTCCTTAATCTATCAGTCCCCCCCCCCCAATCAAATGATCGTCCCTATATGCTCTTAATCAGGCAGGTGGTTTTAATAAAGTACTAGTATGTGCTTAATCTCACATTTATGCACATGATCTATTTCTGACAGCTGTCTGAGGCAATTCGAACTACCTGTTTGTTCGGTAGCTCTAGCTTAATTACAATAAACTGACAGCTGATTCAAGAGACATTATCTGAATGATGCCAGTCATTTACATGTACATTAATGATTAGTCTTTACTTACCTCTTATAGCCTAGCTAACGTTGGACTTTCTGTCTTCCACTTTGTTTACATGATCGAACAGCGCACATGGCCTTTTCACGTGACGATCTCCCTCGCATCGACGCTTGTTTTCCGTCACGCTTCAAATAATATTTCTCCACGCTCAAGATAATATTTCCTTCACGCTTCAAATAATGTGTGCAGTCACAATTATAATCGCGTCTCAACATAATTATTGTTTCAACAGGAGGACAGAGTTTTCGTTCCTGTCACTAGAAAAGAAGTTATCTTTCCTGTTGAAAAATAAAAATAATTGCGAACAAGGGCGCACATCATTATTATTGTTGCAAAGATTATAACGTCGACTTGGTACATTATAATTTTTAAGCGTGTACATTTTTATTTATTTTCAGTCAGTACATTATTGTTACAGGAGGTGAAGTCTTATAAATTGTTGAGGCAAGAATAATTATAATCTTGGTGCAAAATAAAAATTATGTGTACGAATCGACTGACAAGATTATAATTTGGAGGTGTATAAAAATAATGTCTCCGTACTAACTGAAAAGATTATAATTGTAAAGTGAGAATAATTATTATAATGTAGGGGCAAAATAAAAATAATGAATACACATGGACGGACAAGATTATAATTGTTGTAGGAAAATAATAATGTTAAAAAAAAAAAAAAAAAAAAAAAAAAAAAAGCAAGATTTTTTATTTTGGGATGAGATAATTATTTTTGGTATAATTATATAGGAAAAAATAATAATAATGTGGGGGTACCCTACGGCTTTCCATAGTGTACACATGGACAGACAAGATTATAATTATTAAGAAAGAATAATTATTATAATTTTGAGGCGAAATAAAAATAATGTGTGCAGACATCGACTGACAAGATTATAATTTGGAGGTGTATAAAAATAATGTCTCCGTACTAACTGAAAAGATTATAATTGTAAAGTGAGAATAATTATTATAATGTTGGGGCAGAATAAAAATAATGTGTACACGTTTGGCAGACAAGATTATAATTGTTGCAGGAAAATAATAATGTTGTAAAGAAAAACCAAGATTTTTATTTTTGTATGAGATAATTATTTTTGGTATACTTATATAGGAAAAAATAATAATAATGTGGGGGTACCCTACGGCTTTCCATACTCCTTATATGTCTTCCTCTTACCTAACTCCACATGAAGTATTTAAGGATAAAAGTATTCAAGTTACTGAGTCACATTTAAGTGTTGACCGGCGGATAGACAGACGGACCCTACCTTAATTACGAAACACCGGTATATTGATGCGGGACCCTTATTATCCTTCTTTTTCATACCTTTATACGAATTTATTGACATATAAAAGAATTTAAAGAAAATAAATTATCATGAATATAAATCATGATGAATCTCAAACTCACCAAACTTTTTCGGTTGTACTTCTGAAAATAAAACATACAAGAAAGCAAATTAAAGAAAGAGCATATAAAAATCATTATACTCATATCAGTAAATAAATATTCACATTCTCTATAACTTACGTCTCTGGGTTTCCGGTGGAGGATCGCCATATTGCGTTGCAAGAACTACTGCTGCTGTTATCCCCATCGCCATGCAAATTAAGACCACCACAAGTTTGACTGTCTACAACAAAAACAAACAAACAAACAAACAAACAAAAACTACATATAAATTTAACTTAGAATGAATATCGATGTCCTAAATACATGTAGATTGCCATATTTATGACACTTATTTCATCCTTCCTCTAGTTACAGTAACCTCCACTTCAGCTGGCATAGAAATTTAATTATGACAACGTTCAGAGTCATCAGTATGGATCTATCTCAGTGTGTCTTTTACAATGAAATATGGAGGAGGGTTTCTTTAACTTTTTAGTACTCACTTCCATCACACGCTTCTTTGCCATGTTTGGCTTCTTGTCTTCTTCATCGTCTTTAGAGGTTAACGTCTAGAAAAAGAACAGATATGTAAATGATAGATTCCTGTGACTTTAATTTCAAAACGTTTATTCCAGATTAAAATTCATGAATTATTTAGTATGATTTCATTATTACTGTAATATTTGTTCCTTGAGAAGGTGCGTATGAACTGGAAAAAGATATTTCTTCTCGGTCCTTGTTGAAACCAATTGAACCATTTCCAAGTGACTTACTTTCCTCTCTTTTCCGTAACTGTATGCATAATTTTACGAAAATGTAAATGTTATGAACTGTACATATCTTAACGTATCAGCTTTAATGAATTTTCATTAAAAAAAAAAAACTATGATATAAAATACAGGTAAACTAGTTTTGATAGAATATGTTGCCTTTTTTTAATTTAATCATAATCAATAGTACTCGTATGTCTCCCTTTAATCAAAAATCTAAAGATAAAAGAAGTATGAAAATGATTTCACAATTTGTAAATATACCCTGTTTGGATCAAAGCTATAACCAGGATTGTAGGACTTCGTTGTGGATGTGTTTCTCTGCGAGAAATCTATAGCACTCTGCAATCATAAAAGTAATCCTTTTAGAACACTTATGTTTGATAACTCATCTTAAATTGATTACAAACACGTTTTCTGTTTATTATAAATTTGTATCAGCACCTGCAAGACAAAAACATTCAATGTAGGATTTGCGGTTATTTCAAACTTTCGAAATCTGTTTGTAATAGTGTATTTTCAAGGAAAAGGAAACAAAATATTTTGATATGCTAATAAGTTTCGGTTTTATATTCCAAAGAAGTGGACTCATGTTTCTCCCCTTTAATAAGATTTACTTGATTCAGCTGGTAATTAAGATATTTTTAAGGAGGTTGGATGCTGAATTCAAAAGTCTTAAGATTTTTAAAAGCATATTTTTTGCCCCAGTATTCGAATATTCGGGGGTATACAGTTTTTGCTCTCTCCGTTCGTCTGTCTGTCTTTTTTTCCGCAAACTTTAACCTTTTGCCCATAAATTTTGATTGGTTGGAGATATATTGCTTTCATATTTCACATGTTTATTCCTTGTGACAAGACCTTCCTTTGAATACCAAGATATTTGACCGCTTGACCTTGACCTTGGAGTATAACCCACTTTTGCAAAAATTTACCAAACTTTAACCTTGGTCATAACTTTTGAACAATTGGTGCTAGGGCGTTCATACTTATAAAGTGCATTTATTGTGACAAGACCTTTTCATGGGTATAAATATTTTTGACCTTAATCTTAGAGTTTCACCGAATTTTGAAAAACTTTTACCTTTGCCATAACTTTTGAACAGTTAGTACTAGGGCTTTCAAATTTTACAGGTGTCTTTCTTGTGACAAGACCTTCCTTAGACACTAACAATTTTGACCTTTTGACCTTGACCTTGGAGTTTGACGTACTTTTGAAAACTTTTACCTTCGCCATAACTTTTGAACAGTTGATGCTAGGGTTTTTATATTTCGCATGTGTATTTCTTATGATAAGGTCTTCCCTTGCGCACCATTAATTTTGACCCACTGTTAAAAAACCTTAAACCTTGACCATTACTTTTGAACATTTGGTGCTTGGGCTTTCATATTTACCACGTATATACATTGACACAAGTACTTTTTTGGTAACAACATTTTTTTATCTTTTGACCTTGGAGTTAACTTGCATTTGACAAACTTTCACCTTAACCATTAGCTGCAGTGTTTCACAAACATATCTTGTTAATATCTGCACACATAGCTTAATTAAAATTCTAAACGAAAAATTGGAGGCAATAAGCTTCCTTTGGCGCTGTGGTACATTCCATATGACCTTTTTGCACTGTAATTAAACCTGTGCATAAATCACTTTTTATGAGGTTTTTTCTTCTTTCTTTATCCGATAAATTATGGAACCAATCTTATTTTGTGCTACTTGGACGCAATCAAAACGGAAACAAAGAAAAAACATTTCAAATTACTTCGCGTTTTTTCATCCTGAGTTGGGAGAGGGCAAAAATACATTTTTTTTATATTTCATGCATAATATTTATTCTATATTGTTTGTTGAGAATCACAAAACTAAGTTCGAATTATAAACTAAACATGAATATAAATCATACTGGCATAAAACGATTGCACATGATGCCCTGTCAAGTCAGAGTAGAAACTTCCTTTATAAACCATTTGAATTCTATTATATATATTATTCTTTCGTGGTCATATTACATGGTATTATCTGCTTTGTAAAATGAAACGAAGCTTTCAAAATCTGGACGTACGTTCATTTATATTTTGAAGTTTGGCATTTTTTCTATGACCATGATCATGATACAATTGTTAAAAATAAATGATTGTAGAAGAATTATCAAGAAATTGGTGCATGTGCACTTGAAGATCTTTGTAGTAAATTGTTTTTGATAATCCAGTGTGGATTAAAGTTCCATAAAATATTAAAGGTAAATGCAACTGGAACCCGGAAGTAGAATTTTTTAAATGTCAGTTAGTGTTTTTCCTTTTGTGCCTATGTTTTCAAAAAAAAAAAATAAATACAAATACATGTAAATATCCTCTATAACCTTGAGCTGGTTTTTACATGAATTACTGTATGCAAGACATACACTGATAACAAATTAGCTACACAGATGTAATAAACGATGAATATTACTCTAGTACTTTCAAAAGCAATGTTGGATATTTCAATAAGAATTCTAAACACAAATCAAATTAGGGTGTATTTTACATGCATGATGAATGGGGGGATCGACAAATGAACATAGGTTATCCTTTTCGGGGTCGGGGAAAGGCTGGCGTGGTTCACTGAAGAAGAATAAAACATGTGCGTGACATATATTAAAACAAAAAGACTGAAGCTTCCTATTTTAAAAAACAGTGCAGATGAAAGATATTTAACTCTGTTCAAGTTAATCAGTGTAGTACTCGAAAAACTTTGAAAACTTACAGGTGAAACAGGTTGTGCCTCAGGAACAATGGCATTTGAATTGTCGACATTTTTCTGCAAGAAAAAGTGACGGAGATTTAATAAATTATTTTACCAGCCGATCTGTCGAGATCTGTCCATCGAGAGAGAGAAAGAGAGACTTTTGCATTTTCTAACATCCGTTCTAACTAATAAATTATTAGTTTATAAATTTATTATTTAAATTGCATAACAGAGAAGCCATAAACAAGATTAGTTCTTATTTTACCAAAACAATCGATCGTTTAATTAACTGCACACAGGTACAGTCAGATAGTTCCATGGGATCACCATATTTACTTCCTGATTACAAAATGTCTATGATAATAGTACTTAAAAAGATATTTACCGAGGAATATACACTAGAATCACTAAGATTAAAATCCGTGGTATTCCAATTAGTGTATTTTTGTGATATATCCCCCTCTGCCATTCTGGAAATGGTGGAAAATCACAAGATATCCATTGAAATCCGAAGATCTATTTTGAGTGTTTGTGTATACTATGTGGAATATTTAAAAGACCCGATATTCCAACAACACAATGCTCTGTAAATTATTGCATGGTTGCTTCGTCGATCAACAGCATGCATGATTTCGCATTTTGAGTTGATTTAAATAATTGTGTTTTGAATGAATAGTTTTTCGTATTGATCCATTTATTATTGATCATTCATTTCCATGCGTTTATTTTTCAAAAAGTGCACTTAAAAGTTTTGATTATTGGTACGTATAAATGATTTTGCTAAATCAACTTTCTAATCGATCTATTCAATTATATATATAGTTTCACTTAAAAAATTGATATTCATCTGCAGAACAAATTAACATGGAAAGTCAAGGTTTGTAATGACAAGATATTTGACGTGTGAAGTGCATTTTTTTTCAGTAACTACCTACCAAACAAATAACTATGTAGCAAGCTATGTCCAATTCACATGTTTGTAATATTTGTGTATTTCTCTAATAACCGGAAGTACAGTAAGGTTCTCTCTTTCTCTCTTTTTCTCTATACTTACTAGATTTCCAGACAGATAATTTATGTCGATGTCATCTTCAAAGTAGCGATCCATTTTCAATTAATATTTCTTAACAGCATAGTATGAGAATAATCCATAACTTGAACAATTTCTTGGGAAAGTTTAAGCCCTTTTTTTTACCAACTACTTGTACTTAAACTACCCATGAATATTTCAAGTCCCATGGTTCATGATTTTCTTTTGACTGGTGTGTTTACACGGACAGGTTTCAACTTCCTCGTCTGTATCTTTTAGAAAGCTTATGCGTTAAAGTGTTCATGCAATTACATCGCAAATTACCAAAATACTCCAAAGCCTATTTCAAAGATCATGACACAATTAGTATATTGTATTTGAAAATCTAACCTGCGCTGTGAAGTTGAATTTAGAATGTATTACCATTTAAAATCTCTCTATCGTTCGAAGTTTTGTTGAACTTCCCAGGGATTTTCATTTGAAATGTTTATGCAATCTGTTATGGGCATAAGCCTAAATTGTTCAATCTAGAAAGAAATTTGACTCGAGCAATTCCTTTTTAGCTCACCTGAGCTGAAAGCTCAAGTTAGATTTCCTGATCACATTTTGTCATTTTGTCAATTTTTTTTAAGGACTGCCTTAGTTGTGAAAAACACTACTTCCTGCAAGTGGAATGAAGTTCTTTTCTTTAAACCAACAGGCATGCTTATGATCGAAGCTGTCTTAAGACTAAGACATCTCATAACTTACGACATATCTTAGTCTTAAATGGGGCCAGCGAAGCTATCCTATCTTAGGAAACTTCCTAATCTTAGTCCTAACTTTAAGACGACGACGAGGGTGTCCAAAGACATATCTTAGGTGTTATGGTTTTTGTATGTAAAGAACCAATACACCGATAGGCCTAAATGATAACAAGTCGAGGAGCACGTTTTGTACAGGTCTCTGTATTTAAGAACGGAAATTACAACTGGCGCCTTGCGCATACTCAAACCAAGTATATGTAAAAAATCAATATCTAAGGGGGATAACTCTCATAACAAAATTAGCCAGATAATGTAACATCTCCCCTTTTAACAAAGAAATCAAATTCACTTAATTCATGTACAATTCATCATATTACATTAAACAGAGTCATTTGAAATCATATGTGTCCAAAGCTGTAGACAATGTTCTGATTCACAATGAACATATCAACAATGTTTTTTGAACATACATATGCAATTAGTGTAGACTGATTTGGTAATTAAGATAACAACTGATTGACAATTTGATTACATAGAGGGAATAATTTTTTGTTTTACAACTCTACCAGACCTAGTTACATATGGTTTGGATTGCTCTGGAGGCTTAGGTGAGTTACCTGTATCAGGATTTTCTCCAGGATGCACATCATTACCAGAATTCAAAATTGGGGTATTGTCTGGCAAAGGCTCATGTTTGAAAACATCATACTGGGGAAGAGCAAGCTCTCCTGGCTGGGGAGCCTCATTTGTTTTAAGGAGAAATCTCCTGTTGCGCCTATACAAAGAACCAGCAGGTGTTTTGACCAAATAAGATCTGTTCCCATGTGGTTGCATTATAATGGCTGGGGACCATTTTTTATCATTCAGCTGAACCCTAACTGAATCACCAGCATTGAGAGGTCTAAGAGGATGAGCTGATCTATCATGGTAGAACTTTGATTTGTCATGACTGACTTGTAGCTTCGCCCTTATCTTATCTGTGTCATGATGAAAGGGTTTGAGACTTTCTTGAACAATAGGGATGTTAGACCTAAGTCTTCTGGACATTAATAGTTGTGATGGGGAAAGTCCTATGTCCAAAGGAGTAGTCCTGTATGTCAGAAGGGCCAAATTAATGTCTTGTTGGTCAGCCTTACACTTGGTAAGAATGCCCTTTATGGTTTGTACTGTCCTTTCAGCGAGACCGTTAGATTTAGGGTATCTTGGGCTTGAAGTGACATGCTGAAAATTCCACTCCTTAGAAAAATCAGCAAATTCATAACTTGAATATTGTGGACCATTGTCTGAAATAAATTACCATGTCTTGCAAAGACTTCTTTGCATTTCGAGATGATGGTGGAACTATGAGTATTGGTTAGTCTGAAAACTTCAAAATACCTACTGTAATAGTCAACAAATAGAACATAGTCCTTGTCATCCCAAAGAAAGAGATCTGAGGCAATTGTTTGCCAGGGGTATGAAGGAATTTCATGAGACTGCAAAGGTTCCTTAGAGTTGGAATTCCTAAATTCTAAACATACATTACACTTCAGTATTAGGTCTGTAATGTCTTTTGTAAGTCCTGGCCAGAAAACTGTCACGAGCCCTTCTCAGGGTTTTTTCAACACCAGTATGTCCCACATGTAATATTTTTAAGAGCTCATTCCTGAGGTCACGAGGAATGACAATTCTAAAACCCTTCATAATGAGCCCATTCTCTACTGACAATTCATCGCGGAAGTTCCAGTATTCCTTAATGGTGTTCGGGCAATCTCTGCGCGAATCTGGCCATCCTTCCAAAATATATTTGGTTAAGGTTTGAAACTGGGGGTCTGATTCTGTAGACAACCTAATCTGTTCTAGACGACGATCACTGACCTGAATGTTTTCATGTACCAAATGTACTTGAGCTTCAATGCCCTTGGAGAGCTCTGGCATTGTATAAGGTAAGTACTTCCTAGAAAGTGTATCTGCTACAGGGATCTGTTTCCCTGGAACATGAACAAGCTTAAGGTTGTATCTCTGTAATTGCAGAATCATGCGCTGTAAGCGGGCAGGGGCAGTAAGTATAGACTTCTGCATAATAGATACTAATGGCTTGTGGTCTGTTTGAACGCACACCTCACGCCCATATATGTAATGACGCTTACACCCAAACAGAATGGCTAACATTTCCTTTTCTATTTGTGCATAGTTAATTTCTGATGGGGTAAGTGATTTAGAGGCATAAGAAACAGGCTTGCCTTCTTGTAAGAAAGTAGCTCCAAGACCAAATTTGGAAGCGTCGACTTGCAATACAGTATCTTTGCTAGGATCAAAATAAGCCAATACTGGTCCTGGTGACCTTGTTATTATGTCCTTGACCTTAGTAAAAGACTCTTCTTGGGCTGGGCCCCAAACAAATTCAGACCTTTTTAACAATAATTGTCGCATGGGGCTAGTAATATCAGCCAAGTTTGGTGTAAATTTGGATAGGTAGTTTACCATACCCAGCACTGTTTCAAGTTCGTTACGATTTTCAGGTGGTTTCATGTCTTTAACCGCAGAGACCTTTTTAGGATCTGGCTTGATGCCATCTGCAGAAAGCAAGTGACCAAAGTATTCGACCTGCGACTGACCTACGTCGAGCTTCTCATCATTGAGCTTGATGCCCATTTCTCTTGTACAATGTAGAGCAGCTTTCAAGTTGCTATCGTGTTCAGCACGGGTCTTACCGTACACAAGAATGTCGTCGACTATAGCAACAACACCTTTAAGGTCTGCATAACAATAGTCAATATTGCGCTGAAATTCATCTTGCGAAAAGGTAACCTGAGGAAGCGATACCTACCATAGGGGGTATTGAAAGTGGTAAGGTAGCTAGAATCGTCGTCAAGCTTAATTGTCCAATAACCTGATCGTGCGTCAAGTTTGGTGAAATAACGTGCACCAGATAGCTCAGGTAAAATATCATTGAGAGTTTTAAGGGGGTAATGGGGTCGATGAATGACCTTGTTCAAATCTCTAGGGTCAAGACAGATTCGTAGAGCTCCAGATGGCTTCTCCACAACCATGGAGTTTACCCAACATGTGGGGGTATCGACCTTAGTGATGACCTGTAACTTCTCCATCCGGTCTAACTCAGTTTTTACCCTGTCACCCAAAGCTTGTGGTATTCTACGAGGGGGGTGGACAGCAGGTATAGCATCAGAATCTATATGGATAGTACATTCCCCTGGAAATAACCCTAACCCTTCAAAGATATCCTTAAACTGTGTCAAAACAGTCTCCCTGTCTAGTACACTGTCTGCGTTGGAGTCTGTTTTAGTCGAGTTTACTGTCACTGAATTAACAAATCTAACAAGTCCCATGTTCATACATGAAGAAAGTCCAAGGATAGGTGGGGCTTGCCTACCGTCAGGGTCAACAACATGAAATTGAGTGTGAAATATCTTGTCCCCAACCTTAAGAGCTACTTTACAATAACAGCGTTCTAACGGGGAACCCTGCATAACCCGACAAATCAGATGATGGACTCAATTGATCAGCAATACCCAGTTGTTTATAAGTAGAAATTGGTATCACATTAACTTGTGAGCCAGTGTCAAGCTTACATTTGACTGGTACATTATTTGGACCTAATGTGACATGTGTAAATGCTTGATTTTGTTCATACAAAACATCAAGTTTGTTAAGAGCATGAACTACACTGATACAATCAACAAACAAATCAGTAAAATTGTCATTAGAGCTGTGTAAAGGATAATCTGCTCCAGTTGGCTCACGAACTTCATGAACTTTCTTGCTACGGCAAACTTTGGCGAAATGGTTTCGTTTATTGCAAAGCTTGCAGGTTTTCCCATACGCAGGACACCTTTCCTTTTTGTTATGTTTGTATCCACAGTTTGGACAAACATGTACGGGTTTACTGGACGCATGGCTTGTGCTTGTGTCACTATACGGTCTTGGTACGGGTTGGCTGGTGCCATGTCCGGTCTTGGACGTCCTGTGGGAATCGCGATTTCCTGGCCTAGATGTAACAGCATGAACTTCCTGTGATGTGGTGCCCATTGACTTAAGCTGCTCTTGCGAGTATTCATAGTTTTGGGCGATTTGGATGGCTTTATCCAGAGTTAACTTTTCCCCTTCATTAATAAGTTTCTCACGAATCTTGGCAGAATTTGTCCCAAACACAATCCTATCTCGGATCATTTCGTCTGTATCGTTATACTGACAATCTTTAGCTAACAGATGAAGTCTGGTGACGAATTGTTCAATAGATTGTTGACCTTGAACTTCATTATAAAACTTAAATCTGCTAAACACTGGGTTAAGCTTAGGCTGAACGTATGCCTTAAAACGTTTGTAGTACGTATCTAGCTTCTTCTTTTCGTCGTTCGTCAAATTCCAAGTATTATACACATCGCGACCCTTGTCGCCTACCCAAATAAGTAAATAACTTATCTTGACAGTCTCGTCTTTCTCCTTCAAGGGACCGTCGAAGATGAGTTGCACGTGCTGTTGAAACTTTTTCCAGCTATCGACTAAATTTGTCGATGTCCAGTCTAAGCATGGCGTTGGGATGCCTGTAAGATCCATTTTTAAGAGACTTCTGACACCATGTTATGGTTTTTGTTTGTAAAGATCCAATACACCGATAGGCCTAAATGATAACAAGTCGAGGAGCACGTTTTGTACAGGTCTCTGTATTTAAGAACGGAAATAGATAGTTTTCAGTAGGCCCAATTTAGCAAGAGTTATTACCCGTTGGCCGCCATATTGGAGGCCAACATGCTCATATTCCTTCATTATTCAACCAACTTTAACTTTTTATACTGGCCATTGTGGGGTAAGAAGCATTGTTTTTCTGAAAAATATACATTTGTTAAAGCCTCCTTTATTTCATAATTTTTATCCTCTAAAGATTTTCCCCCAAATATTTCTGCTACATCCTCTTAAAATTGGTAAGACAAAGAGGAAAAATTACCAGGTTGACCACCAAGATGGCGGCCAAGGGAAATAACTTGGAGAGAAAATATGTCATATAAAAACTATCTATTACAACTTGCGCCTTGCGCATACTCAAACCAAGTATATGTAAAAAATCAATATCTAAGGGGGATAACTCTCATAACAAAATTAGCCAGATAATGTAACATTAGGTGATTTTAGAAGCGCTGCTTCCAGGAAAACAACAAGAAATTATTGAAAGCACATTGTTTATGTAATTAATCCAATAATTTTTGTAAAATATTAATTTCTTTTATGAGTTAAAACAATTTACTATTATGCCGTGTCACTGTATATCATATGTAAGCATGTACCTAAATAAAGGGAAATAGATGAAGTAATAAATGAAAATCCATTCATTAATTGATGTAGTAATCATGTATTGTAGCAAGTTAAAACGTTCTGAAGTAGTTTTATTTAAAATCTTTTGAAATATGTAAACGTACCAGTTATTAATTTGCTCTCTCTCTCTCTCTCTCTCTCTCTCTCTCTCTCTCTCTCTCTCTCCACTGACCTATTCACTGAAAATCTGTATTTCCTTTGATAGTCTTTTTTTGGATTGTTTTTATAATCGGTTACGACAATAGAGAAAGTATCACTTTGTTAGTAGTTATATCTTTATTAAAATGTGTGAAACTTACTAATTCACATATCATATGCAGATCCATGCATTTCTTCAAGGGGGGAGGGGTGCCACACACTCAAAAAAAAATTCAGACTCAGATATTTTTGGACAATCCAGGGGAAAAACACCAACTTCTCCAAACCTGATAACCTTTTCTTGTTTGTGGGGGAGGGTGTGTGAGCTGGTGGGGGTTAAGTTGCTTGTCTTTACAAATACACAGGACATGTTCATGTATAAAACTTTCCTTGCCATCTTTACCAGGGGTCCATGTTTTGTAGGGGGTTAGTTTACTATATACTTTATACTTTTAATAACTCAAAAAAAAAATCAAAGGGGACCGAGCCCAATGACTCTCCTAACCACCCACCCAACCCTTACATCCACACATGCATATGATGGTATATTAACATAGGAACAACATATGATGTTTGTTTTGCAAATATTAAAAAAGAAAAAAAAAGAGAGAACTGCTTGGAATGGAATTTACGACATCTTAACTTAAGATATTCCAAAGATACTTCCGTTTTACACAACAAGACGTATCTTAGGATAGTCTTAAGATATGTCCTAAGTAATATCCTAAGACATGTCTTAAGACACATATCTTAAGAAATTTTCATAAGCATGCCTGCATGTTCCACCTACAATTATATTTCTTTCAACTTACAATAATGTAGTTAGAGGGATACTGATTTTTTATGCTGCTTGTGAGTCAACACGAGAAACTTTTATTTACGATATAAGAAAATACCATATAAATTTTAAAAAAATTTAAATTGCTATGATTGGACAATATTTGATGATACATTTTAACCCAAAACATTTCAAATTTCTAAATCTTTTAGTTGGGCATCTTTATGATCAGTGTCTGTCTAATTAGTTTTCAAAGTACGTGTACTTGTATTTAAGCACATTTACCAGATGTCCTCTTAAAGATTAAACAGTGCTTCCTTGAATAAAATAAGTTTATTTTTAATGTACATGTAATTGTATTGAATGTAGCATTGAACAAATGATGCAAATCTATCAAAATAAAATTACGTTTTTTTTTTTAATTCAAGGCTGAGGATTTTCAACTATCGTGACAATTAAATTTGAAAGAAAATAAAATCAGGTAGGTAAATTCAAACGTAAGGTATTCATTTTTAATTAAAATATATTTAATTAAGATATATTTGAAATAAACTATCCAGTATAAATTTTTTTAACCTTGTTCCTCTCAATTTCAATATTGGAGGTTTTAGCTGCCTAAATACTAGAAGTTAAAAGCAACAGCTCTCAAAAATGTTACTGTCATTTTGATTTATCTTTATGTCCTTATTCTTAATTTTAACGACAATGCAGCGACAATGTATGTGAAGATCGAAACCGTTTCATAAATAGGGGTATGATCATCTACAAACATAAGTAACGAAAATACATTCAAAATACAACAGCACACCCAGGAGAGTTAATGATTCCTTAACACAACTTTATATTACAACCGTTTCCAACGATAATGTACAGTCCAGGCTTTTTGACATCTTAGACAAATGCATTTTTTTTTAAAAAGGAACTCCTTAATTTACGTATCTTGTCAATGGTCATCTGCAAATAATTTTATCAAAACATTCTGATTGTACAAACAAGTACTCTAGGGTTAATATTAAAAAGATGAGTTTCTGATAATATGTAGTTTTTAGAAATCAAGTCTTCCAACAATTCCCATGTGTACTAATTGCGTCACGTTATCAGCAGACCAATTTTACATATGAAGCAGAACTTAAAAACTTCTACATGAAAAGAAAAGGTCTCTTGCTATGGCCTTAAATTCGACATTTTGATCTATCTACGACGTTATATAAATAAATAAGATTAATTTTCATTCTTACGTTGATTCTGTATTACCCTAGAACTCGAAATAAAAGGACACCACGGAATCTAACACACCTGTTTCATATTTGAATATTTTACTAGAGAAAGACGTTAATGGCAAACTAACGACAAACCTTAATGATAAACATATGACGTCAACTTTTCTATCGTCAACTTCATTTATGTAGCAATACACCATTATCACCTGCATGGGGACTTTTTATCTCCAAGTATCTCCAAGTTGATTCAATACGCAAGAGCAATATTTAAAACGAAGGAAGCTATTGACAAATAGTTGATGACTGAAGGATATCAACAGTTTTCTTTTAAGTCAACATTTCACAAATTTTATACGATGACCTTGTAAGCAAATAAAGTCTATCTTTGAGTCGAATGTTGACTGACGTTTTCATACACATTGTTAGGCCAATATTATCACACTGAATTGTCTACGGATTTTCCGTTTGCCAGATCATGAGCATACGGAGGGTATGACAAGTCAACAGAGAATGCTTGCTCCTCCATGTACCTGATCCCACCTCTAATGTCTTTACAGTTCATTGGTTGCTCTATTCCCAATCTGTATTATTCCAGTTGATTTTTGAGCTTGATTACTGTTCGTTATCTTCATATTTCATTTTTGCATTTAATTTTTTTATCGTCAAACTCTTTTCTCAAATTCCCAAATATGATTTTTCCCTTCAGTTTTTTTTTAAATAATGATTAGTTTCGGTGATAAACAATTGAATAAATATAGAAGTTATACTGAAAGTATTTTTATTCAATAAGATCAAAGGAGATATTCTATTTTGCATTCTTTTTGTTTAAAATAAACTTTTTTTCGTTATCTTTTTTTTTAATTTCTAAAAAAGGTCCTTTTTTCTCCTGCTATCTTAGTTGTTCAATGTTCCGGAGGGACACAGATACTAAATACTTTGTAAAAGATTGATTGATTGATTGTATGGTGAAAGGCTTCAAATTTAGACCTTTACTCGACACTTAGGGCCATTGAGCAGTGAGGGGTCTTTATCGTGCCAACGCCTGCCGTGACACGGGGCTTCGGTTTTTAAGGTCTTATCAGAAGGACCCGCAACTTTCACTTCAAAGTGCCGAGCGCTTGGCGAAGGAACAGTTGCTACCTATTTTTTATTGACTTGGGTCAGTCGCGGCCAGGGTTCTAACCCACGACCTCCCGATCACTGAGCGAGCGCTCTACATGTAAAAGATGTTTCTAATTTTAATTGTTTTCAACATTTAAATATATATTTTTTCTGTATCTTCATTTTCCTTCAACAGTCTTTTCTATGGCCATTTTTTTTCTCTTTCTCTTATCTTGCTCTTTTTCATGAGCGGACAGTCGTGGCGTCAAAAATTAAAAATAATAGTAAGGACTACTTTAATTGTGCATTTTTCTTTATTTTCAATCTTTATTCGAATATAGAGAATTCTTCATTTTCATTTTATTTTATGTTTTTAATCTAATTTTCTATTTGATTGACTTTTTGACAGTCATGTTTTTTTTTAAACTTTTACTTAGCTTGCACATAGGTGAGAATAGCAAGTCGCTATAAACAAAATTCTCATTGTAGAAAAGACAGGACATCGATCAGGACATACAAACATACATCAACATACATCAACAGAGCAGATGAAAGTGGGTAACATTCAAGATGAGAATTCAAACTTTTTACAGAGGAAATATGAGGAAAGTTTTTGATGAACGTGACGAAGATGTTTCTGCCTATAAATAGGAATAAATAGGAATAACAGTAATAAATTATCATTGCTGGTCATGCTGAGTTTGTGATTGATTGTGATTATTGGAATCCTTTTTCTGTTTTTTATCCAAAAAAAAATGTTCCATGTTTTTGTTTTATATTTTTTGAATAATATTATTATTTCAATTTGCTGCAAGTATTTTCCAAATCCAAAATTTTTGTTAATTATTGGCCACATGGGACAAGACATTTCGCTTGTAGAACAAAATAATGAGCTTTTATACTAATAATGGGACATTCCTAAATATACTGGATTAAAGAAACAAAAAAAATAATAATTATGGCAATTAAATGTTTCTGTTGTTGATACAGTCTGATTTAAATACTTCTAG